CTAACACATTGGGATTTAGTGAGCTTCTGTACTCGGAGTGAAAAATTAGAAGAAAATAAAACGTGATAGAGCGGAGAGGGGAAAATCATCTCAGCTGAAACCCCAAGTGTCTGAATCCAGCCAAGTTTGGTTTGCAGAATATCCAGAAACAGCTGTTGCTGCATTATCTGCAAAAACAAAATAAATCAGACAACCAACGTTCAGCCGCAACCAAACTGCTTTAATCTTACACTATGATTTGTTGTTCCCTTTGAAAATACTTTCAAGAGAGTTTTGAAAATGGGATCTTGGTTGATTTGATGAAATCCAAAAGAGCAACAGGAAATGTCCAAGTAAAATGAACAGATCATAAACACAGATGAGTTTTTATTCGACTTGTAAGGTCCCAAAGGCTGTAAAGGGGACATGAAATTGTGCAAACATATGGTCTGATGATACTAGACTTCTGTTTGGCTGCAATGAGGTACTATCAGCTGGAGGAAATGTCCCTGGTCGCTGGCAAACAGCAAAGGTGTGAAAGGCAATTAGTTGCTTTGACGCAGGGGCGCTGTGATATATGAGAACCGAAGAAGAGAAGACATGTCTGGACCGGTGCAGAATTACTAGCCCCTGAGGGGTTTTAGTTTCCTTAACCTCTTTCCCTCTGTTCCAGCAACTCCCTAAAGGGGAAAAGATGGAGGGTGAAGCGGCTGCCTTATTATGGCTCCCTCAACATGGGGTCGGTCAAGAAGACCCCAGACAGGCTACCAGACAGATGATGGGAATGGATGGTGGTATCTGACAGAATGGGCGGAGTTTGGTCCAAAACAAGCCCTAATGGAACCCGGACCTCTCTGCTCAAATGCTATATCATGCGGGTCTTCCTAGGTCTTCGTGTAAAGGCGATTTGCGTGCAACGTCCTGGAATGTGTTCAAGTGTGCATTTGAGAGAGGTAGACAGTGGGCTCTCGCACGTCAGGCCTTCATACATGTATTCAACAGAGCCTAGGGAGAGGCTGAGTGAACAGGTCAATAATCACATCTGAGGAACACTCACTCGCTGACGCTAATCCACAACAGGAGAGAGGGAGAGACAGAAAGAAGGATAAAGACCCACTCCAAAATCAATTAAAACCTAATTAGGCTCTCAGCTCTTTCACGGGCCTTTTATCCCTGGTGTTGGAGATACGCTGCTCAGTGTATGCGTGCATGCCCGTGTTTGCGCGCATCTCCACTTTGTGTACTTGTTTGCATGAATGTCTGTGTGCTTGTTGGCGCGTTCTTGGATCTTGTTTTCCCCAAGCATGTGTCAGTTACAGCCTTAAGCATTAGGGATAGCAGTGGCTCTCCCAGACTCACTGTGGGAGCCTGGCACTAAAGCCTCTACGATCGCCTCTGTAATGCAGGATTACAAGCAGGACATGTATAAGAGTATTGGAAAACAGCTTCTTTAGCCACAAGCGTTAGTGCTACTCAGACCCGAACTTCAAATCCTGAAACTGTCTGTGACATGAGGGCTTAACCACATCTCATCAGGATTATAACCTGCTTGTTTATTACAATGCAAGGACAAACAAATTGGTTTGATGCATCTTGTTGCTCCTGTTGTCCGAATCAGCTGCGCATTTCTTTGAATCATTCTTGCTTTGCACCTTTGCATTCAAACCATTCCAATTTAACCTCTCTGTCTCTTATATTCCAATATAATATTTTGTATTTTGTATATATATTTTTTTGCTTTCTTCACATTTTCTTAAGCATTTCCGGCTTATTTCAGCCATTTAGTGTTTTATTCCTCACCTTTGCATGTGCCACTCTGACCCAGATTATTGTGCTGGGATTATCCCTCGATCAGCAGTCTTAGTCTGAATGCTCAGCATTGGAGTCGATGCACTGCAGGAATGAGATAGCTAAAATAAAAAGAAGCTTAGTGACTCTTCTTAATCCAGGTTTTATTTCAAGCTGGCACTACAAAAGCCATCTTAGTGCTCAGATGCCACAAGCAGCCACAGGCTTGAGCTGATTGCAATGTCTCAGCATACCCTGAATGCCTTTCATTTTAAAGTAACAGCAAGAACATCATCAAAGATACTGACTTTAAATATGTGTTCAAATCCAGAAATGCCTGTAATGCTTTGTCAGCACCAAACAGCTCATCACACTAATTAGCGAGATAACGGCGACCCGGTTGTTCCTTGACAGCTTTGTCACATGAACTAATTCAGACAAGTGTGTTTGGATGTCTGCACATTCGGAGGGTGCTCGCAGTTAGCTGCAAGGCTCCTGCAGCGATGCAGTTAGCAACACGAGGAAACACAACATGTGGACTGAGGAGACACTTTTAGCAAGAAAGGGGATGATACTATTGGGACCAAATGGAGAGAAATTGATTAGCTCGTGCTGCATGAAGCACAAACATACTAATTTACTGGAAACACATGGTTAAGAAAAAAATAAGAGGAAGAGTGAGTCTAATAGTCTGTGAAAAGTGTATAATTACTCCAATAAATTATATGAGCCTTACTTTAAACAGCACTTAAGCACTAGGCTACCCCTAAACAGAAATTAAAACATTTCAACACATTCGAAATCTGACCGAACCCTAAAATTATTATGCTAAGAATGGCTGTTCCAAAACATTATGTGGTGCCATCTAAATAACAGTAAAGATACAAAACTGAATGGACCACGATTAAGGCCTAAAACCCATTACTTTGAGAAAGCTGATTTTTGTTTAGAAAGTTATAAAAAAAATCCATATATATCTCCTTCTGGCTGCTTATTAAGAGGCTGCTCTGCAAGAGCTGATCAAGACTGACTGCACCAATCTTATTTAGCTGCACCACCTAATTTTGATCCAGCCAAACTTTTTAGTCTTTTTAGGGATGAAGGTGACAAACAGAAATGTTGTGACACTTGAAAGAAGACCCCCATCATACATACTGACTTTATTTGTAGCAATCTGATTTCTTTAAAACATTATGCTATGAAAAAAGAGTCTGTAGAAAGACCCTCTAGTTAAAAGGGAGATGTAGCATTCACACCAGAATTTAGAGATCGCTCGATAATAGCCAGATTTATAAAACCAAACCAGTCAGAATAAAATCAACAAATCCACTTGATGCGGTTTGGGAGTGGTTAGAGCAGTGCGCTTGTGCTCTGAGAAGGTTGCAAGTAACTGGTTTGAACCCTACAGCCTGCACTCTGGGTCCTTGAGGAACACCCTTAGCCCCACAATGCTCCCTGTGCGATGCACAGTGGCAGCCCAAGGGGACGGGTTAAATGCAGAGGTAAATTTCTCCAATGTGAGATCAATCATTTCACTTATTAATTTGCACCGTTGCCGTTTTGCTCAAACTCTGTTCCATTTCACAATTACAAATTGCATGATTTGTGATTATGCAATTACATTATACAAATTGCATAATATTTATATGCAATTCTATTTCCCCAGAGGGAATGTGGTTTACATCGCTACCTTCTCCTTTCTAGTTTAGACTCATAACATTTCCATCAAATTCCAATGATGCAACCAAGTTGAACTTATAGTCCTTCTTTGTCAGATACTCAAGAGGAGAAGCTTTATGGAATTGAAAAGTGTTCTGCAAGAATCCATTGTCTTCAATGCCTTCTCTTCCCTGACTTATGACATCATAAGTCAGACCAGAAGCCTAATCAAATTCAATTAGTTATGCTCAGTTTTAGTAAAAATAAAAAAATAAAAACAGAAACTGCAGCGTTTGTCTTCAGAAAACAAAATCCAGAGTCCAGCACGTCAAAGACAAGGACAAGATCTGGCGAAAATGATGCAAGTTCCAAGTAGACACCGAGACATGGGAAAGATGGTGTTAACATCTACAACACCAGGAAATCTAACAAGAGAGTCCCCTGAAGTCAGAAAGTTAAATGCTTCTCAACTTCAACGAGTTTAATATCCAATATAATGCAGGGCATGTCAAAATTTAGTAAAGTCGCAGGATCATATTTTATCAGTATACATAATGTACACAATCTCTATCTGTGTAGCTTCATAAAGCAAATCCCAAAGAACTTTTTTTAAGCAATGCAGTAACAACCCAGTATTTGTCTCAGATTAGTTTTTTACCTCGGATATAAATAAACACCTCATCTACATAACAGCGCAAACATTTCTTGTTTATGCTTTTTCTAAATCCGTGCATAGCAGAGGTTAATTAGGTGCAACAGGAACAGAGCGTTCTCTTTAAAGTATCAGAGTCCAACATGAACCAGCTCACCATGTTTTTTCAATCAGTGATGCTGATACACAGGAATGGTGCACAGAGCTATGAGCTAATTCAGGATTAGCCAGGTGCACTCTCTCGCTCTGTCTGTTTTTCTCTCACACACACACACTGAGCTGACAGTAAAGAATCTGTTCTGTCATTCAGGGTCAGTTGGTCAGTTAGAGTTCAGCGAAGAGCTGAGAGAACAAACTATGTGGAAGCTAATGAAGATAGAGGCTTCGCGTTCGGCAGTTGTGGGCTCTAACCCTGCCTGCGTCTGATGCCCTCACCTCTTGTTTTTTTCAGGAGCCTCAACCATCTATCTTTACTCCTCTTATTACTGAATTTATCCAGCTGTCTGTTTTGCCTGCATCCTCCGCCTCGCCGTTGATAGACACGCACTAAATATGTGCCCTGTTTGAAATACAGCCCTCCCTCCATTTTCTTTCCTGTGATCCAATATTCAGGGATTTGGGGATTGTTCGCCCCGAGCTGTCATCAAAGAGATCTGAGCGTGCCGTCCCGAGCAAAACTGGGTCAGAAGAGCTACATTTATTGAATCCATCTGTTGGGAGACAACACAGTTTATTTCTCCTTTTTGATTGGTTGTTTTCCTCAATTCGGAGATTCTTTCCTGAAACACGTCTAGCTGGTTGCAAAACTCTTTTTGTCCTTTAAATCTTCTCAATCGTGCCATAAAGTAAAGATTTCCTTTCAATCAACAGACCGGGAGGGAGTTATTAAAAAAAATGTTTTCGCTCTCTTGTCATGGCTCAGGTACGACTTCATAGAAATCCGTGATGGGACCTCGGATACAGCTGACGTTTTGGGACGACACTGCAGCAACATCGCCCCGCCGCCCATCATCTCGTCCGGATCCTCGATCCAGATCCGATTCGTCTCGGACTACGCCCATCAGGGTGCCGGTTTCTCTCTGCGCTACGAGATCTTCAAAACAGGTGAGAACTTAGCTCAGTGATTTTAAGCTTAAGCTCCAAAACCTGGAATTCCTCATCATAATACCTCAATTTATACCAGCAGAAGCAAAAAATATATAGTTAGATGAGAAAAGAAAAGAAAGAAGAGGCACTATAAAGAATGAAAGGAATGCTCCTTAATTGGGGCAGGATTCCCTTCCTCTTGGAAGATGAAGGGAGGCTTTTGTGGGATGATGGAGAGAGCTCTGGGGTAACTCTGGAGTCAGAATGAAAGGTTAAAGGTTTATAGGTAACAGCCTGAAGCCAGGAGATTGATGGGGATGAGTTTGAGCCAAAATGGAATGCTCTCAAAGTGGGAAAAGTGCATGCAAGGTTGGAGCAGATTTGTTTTGGCGTTTGAGTGTTTTTTCTAGTAGCCATAGTGACAGAGGAGGTCAAACGGTCTTTAGAGGAGGAAGATTTATGTTCAAGCCTGTTCATCAGCGCATTTTGTTTTGCTTCAGGTAGCTCCTGAATCAATTCACCTCAACATGTGTCTTAGTTTAAGCACAGAAGTTTGAAAGACGGAGAGCAAAATTGACTAAGCATTACCTTTATCAGGTTATAACCTCCGACTTTAAAAAAACGACTCATGTTTGTGTCAAACGACTGTGACCCAGATTTGTCATTCAGCTCCGTTACCTCGATCCCCAATGATGTTTTTAGCTCAGATTGCATCTGTCTCACACACATACCCACAGACTCGGTTAGAAGAAGGATGCCGGGTGGGGGATGCGGTTGCCATAGGTTTAATAAGATCTTGCTCAAATTTCTGGGGCTATAAGAGATATTGTCAGTGTGCAAGCACATGTAGGCGTGTGTGGGTGGTTCTGCTCAGCTCGTCGTGTGAGAATCCGCCTGTATATGTGGAGGTGGCGTGATAGCTGTGCATGAGAGACAGGAAAAACAACCGAGACAAGGGGACGGTTGGGGAAACGTTGGGCAGGCTGACGAGGAATGAGCACGTCAGAGGGAGAAAATGTATTCAGGATGTGTGATTGAGGCCAAGTGTTAAGTACAGCATCTCCACTTCCTGTACCCTCTTGCTCATCACAGCTGTTTGTCTTTCTGTGGCAGGCCTGGGTCGGGGGGTTTCTTCTGAGCAGCTCACAGCTTCTGCTGGGTGTGTTTACAAAGCACAGCAGAAACATCAGAAAGATTAAAATAAGATAAAAAAAAAGCAGCTTACAAATAATCATCATTAAAAGATAACCCAAACCAACCTGTAGTATGTGAAAGAGTCGGTGCGTGGTAAGCCTTGGCCTAATTGGTGGTTTAGGATGACTCAGGTTCTGCTTCCTTTGGGAAATTGAGGAAGTCTGAAACTCCTCTTCATTTGGTTATTTTTCCTCAGCTTTGGTTTTGGCCCTCAAACTTTACCTTGCATGCTCCGCCTCTTTCTTATAGCAGAATAGAGATCATCACTGATCTTTTACATCAGGGCGTGGATTCCGGAGATCCTAAAACCTGCTTCATGTTGTCAGACAAGTCCTGTTTTTGAGATTTCTTGATCAACATGTCCCGCAGTAAGCAGGAAAAAAATACATAAACAGATTAAATGTGTAAAAGGGAACAAAATGGAGGAAAATAAGCTTCTCATGGTCGCTTTAGGGATTGGATTTTGTATCCTGAGTTGAGACACCCTTAGGTTGATTACTTCAAAAGCAGACCTGTGTGTTCAGTATTATGGTTGTGTTTACGGGTCTGTATGTGTTTTTAAAGGGTGCGTCCAGAGATGGATATCAGGGCTAACAGTGTGTTTGTGCTTAGCTTCCTCCCAATCCCAACGCACTGTCTCAAATTCAGATAGTGTGTTTCTGATTTTGCCTGCTTCTGTCAATGTGTGTGTTGGTGATCTCTGTGCTTTGAGCTAATGGTACAGCTGCTTGATTGAACCTGATTACGTAAGCGGTGACTGTATCCCCTCCAGTGGGGTTTGAGTTGAAGAGGGGATGTGTTAACCTGTGTGTTTGGATGATGGGGTTCAGTGAGGTAAATAAATGACTTCCACTGAGGAGGATCAGGAGTCAACCTTAGAATTTCTCCCTACCAGCCCTGCTCCTCTAAAGCGGAGACAGGGTGAGTGTTTTGGCACAAAACAACATCCTCTCCACAGACTTACGCACTTGAAAGGAATAATCCTCTTTTTTTCAAAATAAGGTTCTTAACTGCTGTAGATAGAACTACAGTCATCTTCATTTAGATCCAGATTCTGATTGTTTTAAGATAAGCCAAGACCAAAGCAGACAATCATGTTAAAACTACTGCCATCTTAAACAAAATCATGGTTTTATACAAATGTTTAGATAGCAGTTATTTACATAAAAGTCGATGATTAATTCAACTGGAAAGATAAACGGTAGAAGATGAATCTCTAACAGGTTTCTAGTCAGGGTTCGCTGAAGATTAAAGTAAGGTAGTGGGAAAATCTTAAATCAATCAATTTCACAAATGTTGTTTTATAAATAAATAACCTCTTGTCATTTTTTGCAATGTGGCACTATTTACAGAGAAGGTGCTGAGTGTTTACACAGGGAATAGAAGTAGGGGGTGTGCACCAGAATCCTAGAAAAAAGCCCTAATTATTAAATGGGTGCGGGCACGAGCATAAATGAACAAAATCCGGGTATCTATCAAAAAAATCTAATTGATCTAAGAATATCCTGATAACAGTATTTTTTTAAGCAACAAGGCAAACCTTCTTACTGCGACCAATTTACAGTTGTTACTCTGTGATTGAGCATGCACTGGATGTGAATGTGAGGCAACGTTCGTTTCTGCCTCTATTATAAACGGCTGTGTGTACACTTTGTGATCAAGGGTCAGATTGCACTTTATTATTTACGGGTCCATGCAGTCCAGGCCGGGTTTAAAATCTGGATAAAATGTGGACAACGGGTCGGCTCTTGGTTCTGAACTCTTCGGGTGCCGACATTTACAGTTTAAAAAAAACAGACCTGTGCAGGACTCTGGCGTGCACCACCTATGATATTCCAGTGTGAAACAAATCATGATTATCATTTTATTTGTAGACTGCTTTAAAACAACTATAGCTGAAAATAAGATGCTGAAAACAGAGCTACGTTAGAGAAGTAACTCAGTTTCTCTGTTGCATAAAGCTAACATATTACAGTAGTTTTAAAAATGAACTTCCATTGCTTTTCATCTGCCATCAAAAGCTTCACATGTTCTGGTCGTCTTTACAAAGAAAATGCATTGCTCATTCCACCCTCACCTTCATATACAGCACGCAAGAAAAGTGCAGAAAAGTGGATGATAATATGCAAGGGATAAATATGGTTTTATAGTAGAAAACTAGAAAACAGCTGTGAAGGGGTTTTGGGCTGATGTAAGAATGCAAAAATAAAAAGATTAAAGTTAACTGAGTGAATATTTCTTTAAAAAATTAGTATCAGGTAGTTACGCTGACTCTATTTTCACACAAGGGGATCATTGGTGGAAAACCAACTCTATTTTCTGCAGTTTTTGTACAGAACTTTTTAATACAAAACTGAAAATTGTCATAAAGATTATTGATTTTGTCTTATATTTTGTGAGATTTAATACAGGGTCTCACTTTAGTCCTTCTTGGACAAGCCTTTAACTAACTAATTTGGGTTTCAAGTTAACTGCTTGTAACCTTTAGAGTCAAGCCCTCTTAAAACATAAACTATCCCTTCAATGCTACTGTACAGTAACAACATGCACCCTTCCCTCCTCCCTCTTATTATTGTGGCCTACTTTATCCCTACCCATGCGTGCTTAACCCTTTATTCATCACCCACAGCCCATACGCCTCCAAGACATTTTAACATACACTGTCACGTGCTACTGATGCTGTTACCACGGCTACAAGGGGAAGACTAGCAGAGTAAGCACCTTTTTTCCCCTGGTCCCCCAAACCCCCCTCCCCCCCAAAAGACCACCACTAGCATGATAGTGAGCATGTCAAACCACGGTCAAATCAGAGTTCAGATGGCGAGAGAGAACCTAAGGGCTTTGGGTCTCCTCTGTGACCGCTGCCAACCGTGGCGTCTGTGGGGTCGTAGTGGGAGCAGGACTGAAGCCTAAGGCGGGACCCCACACCCACTGAAGCCCCAGCCAAAATACTGACTCCATGTGTTTTTTTTTGATGCTATCTTGTTGACTGGAAGCCAACCCGTTTGCGTAAATCCTGGTTGTTGCCATATTCCTGATTGCGGAGTTGTTTATTCCTGAAAATGCCCAAGTCAGCCTCCTGCAATTAACTGACAAAAGTGATTAAACTGGGATGAACCAAGACCTGATCAAAAAAGTGCAAGAAGATGGGAGGAAAAATCTTTCCTAAAAACTCTTCTGAGGATTTCTCTCTATAGAAGGCTGTTCTGCCTGGGGTCTAAATTGGTGTCTAAACATGGCATTCTAGGAATGCTGTTTTCCTTTTTTTTTGTAGCCGCTTCTTGTTGTTCACAGTGTTGCATTGTTGTTGTTTTGGATTTTCCACCCTAACCCCCCTCCCATTATGCACATTGCCTCTTGGGTTACACATTTTGCACGCACCCATCTCTCCTCACGCGCCTCTGGAGAAAATCTCTTCAATGAAACCTTGAACCGAGCCCAAGTGGTGTTACATGAGAGCCCCGCCTGCGTTTGAGCAGTGGATATTTGTGAGACAGAGGCAGGGAGGCTGAGGTGTTTTTGATGTGCGGCGGCAGCCTCGTGCAAATGGAACGGAACGGGTAAGGGGGGTGGTTGGATGAGGATGATGCCAGACAAGACAGGGAGTTGGAGTGAATAAGTGCAGGGTCGGCTGGAGAAAAATGATGGAATGATGGAGAAGATGAGAGGAGAAGACAGGAGGAGAGATGGAGGTGGGGGGATTACCCTGACTGCTGCTGGATGAGGGCACTCATGTGAAAGAAACAAGTGGTTTCTACCCAGCAACTCACCCTTCGTCTGCACCACACTCACACCGTGACCTCCTGCTCACTGCCGGGAGACGT